ATCGTGCAGTGGATTTTTCTCTCCAATCACTTAATAGTTCTTTCTAGGATGCTAGTTAGATTTTACATGAATATTCCTTATAGGGGATTTAAGCGGCATGTATAATATTTTTATTGTTTTTAATTTATATATATATATATATATATATATATATATATATATATATATATATATATATATATGGATTGGAACGTACGACACAAATTCCAATAAATGCATCGTTCGATTATTACAAAGATTGCCTAATCGTATTATAGATTCTGTAATTACTTTTTAAATTTTTTTTTTTGATATTTCTAGTTTCAGTTTTATCGAATTTATACGAATTTTGGACTTCGATTCACACCTATGATATTGATGTCGAGGAAAATATAAACTGATGTGAAAGAAGTTTATAAAAACTTTCAATTGTATTTAGCAGATCGGCTCTTTTTTTGTTCCCTGTATGGTTAAACAGATATCGTAAACCCTTGGATTAGTCAACTTTATCTATTAAAATCTTTTCTAATTAATATTTATACAGCTATTACATAAAATGCTAATCATTACTAATATCCTGTAAGATGGTACGAAGCAATATCTTTAGCTACCCACCGTAGTTAATTGAGTGAGCTCAGTTAAATAACCATGTACCCACCGTTCAATTACAATATGTTAATTGGCAAGTATACACTAATTCCCAATGACAATTAATGTATAACCTGAATTGTGGGAAATGGGGTGCAAGCTTTCACGACTTTCACTCGAGATAAATCTGCTTCCTTATGTAAGTCAAGTCCATGCTAATTGGGCTACATTTAATTGCTTACAGCGCTCCCGGTGGCGAGTGATGAGAATAACGGATGTTGACCTCAACAACAGCCATAACTGCTTCGCGGCTCGCGCCTCATCCTCTGAATGTTATGTAGATAATTTTTTTTTCTTAATGATATTTACAACTGTATAAAAGAAATACATTTAGTAAATTTGAACATGTGGATATAATGACGTGAAAAAACTTGTTGAGAAACTACCCAATGTAATGTAGCACTCTAATGATTTGTCTACATTAAGAGATCACGGGGCCATCTTTTTTTCAGACGCCTCGGAGGGTTATCAGTAATTGAATAGGAAGAAAGGTTTGAAATGATAGGATTGGTATGATTCTGAAGTTTATTATGGAAGGACAGGTATCTGGATTGGGCCAGATATGAAACATAAGAAACATTAAGGTCATTATGGATGGTTTTATTTGTAACAAAGTAGGGAACATTAAGGATTTTACGAAGGATTTTGATTGTGAGGATTGGAGGGGAATTCGATGTTTTAGTGGAGCACCTTAGCTCAATTCCGTAAGTCGAAATAGGCCTTATTATAGTAATGTATATGAGACTTTTGTATTTAATTGGAAATTTAGAGCGTTTGTCTAGTATAGTAAGTGCTGAAGTAATCGGAAACGTCGAGTGGTTTCTTGTCGTTTCAGTCTGGTATAAATAAAATTTTAATTAATTTTAGATTTTTTTTTAATCAAAGAGAAAAAAAAATAGTACAGCATCACAAAATTTATTCTCAGCACTCTTCTCAAACAATTGTGTTCTACGATGAATTATCTATTTTTATTGAGGCCAGTCTGGACATACGGAATTAAGCTTTGGGGCTCCACAAGAACGTCCAATTCCTAAATCCAAAATCCTCCGTAGAATACTCAATGCCTCATATTGTACCACAAATAAATTTGTCCACAACCACCTCAAAATTACTTTGGCTGAAAATTACTTTTTAAACTCCAAACTCGTTGGACAACCATAATCGTTCATTCAAAACAATTGATCTAATTGTTGATGTGCTACCAGAGAGTAGATTCTTCACAAGGTCCTATAATATTTTATATTCTTATAGCAAGTTTACTTATTGTATTTATTTATATAGTTGTGAATTTCAATAAATGAATAATTATAAAAAGTAATTTATATTCATCATTTAAGATTAGGTCATAACCATTAAACGAAAAATTTCTCTGATTTTTGTGATGCAGATTTGAAAAAATAAATAGTTTTAAAGAAAAGTGGTGGAGATGAAGCTACGCCAAGAAAGAGTGGATGACAGAAAATGACAGACGCTAGTTTACAACGTTAGATATGTTATTATACTTTATAGCTTAGAATAGTGTTTTTAGCTTCAAAACTTCTACCTAAGTAAAACCTTATCTTAATTTTTTTTTATAATCCTGTCGTCAATGTATAGAAATATTTAGTTTGAAATTTATTATGTTAAATATAATATTTTTTATAGGATATGTTATATAATACATACATTTGCATATTAAAAAATATTTATGAGTGGCTCTTTATCGGTATCGTGTTTGGCTGCCGCATACGTCAAACTACATTGGACATAAGCCCCAGTCCTCTCTACACTTCAGAAAGCCCAGATAAGCTAAACATAGATTAGCTGAACGTGAACCTTCCTTTATTATTTAAAACATATAATCTTAATGTTATGTACGTTCTTTATAAATCGAATTCTTCTAAAGCTCAAATTCACATAATTTTCATTTCCATATACAATTATATTTTTGCTTAAATAGTGATTTTTAATATTTATGTATTTAAATCTATTATAGGGCTTCAAGTTTGCAAAGGTTATTACCATATATTTTTCCAAATCCGTAAACACTACCTGAAATATTACCGAACATTACACCAGTTTCCGCAGTACAGATGGTGCCAACGGTCTTCGGGACTTTATTTGTCACTTTTTATTTATTTATTATATATTGAATATGAACATAACCTGCCACACTCTAGGGCAATAAGCATTAGGGCTAAAAAGATCTAAGTATTGTCACTAAGCACAGTGTTTGGTTAGCTCTCAATTTTATGAAATAATTTCTGCTTTAAGCTGCGAATACAATGCAAGGCAAAACAGGCACTGAAAAGGAAATCGTAAAGCGCAAAGAAATAAATGTAAAGTACCAGGTTTAGAAAGATAGTAGATGGAAAGAATGGTGGAGGAAAAAAAGGAAGAAAGGAGGCGGAGAGAAGATGATAAAAATTTACATTATATAAAAAAAATCGGAAATGTACATTTAAAAACTTAAGTTTATTATTTATCTCTATAAATAAAGTTGATCTCATTATAGATACGTTTACACAGTTGGAATCTGAGATAATATGTGCATGTTGTAAACAAATAATTTTGGTTCGTTGATCCTTTTTTTTTTCTGGAAAACTGATTAGAATTGTACAAAATTGAACAAATTGTTGTAAAAAAGAAAGTAGATGAAAAAAATAAATTAAAACTAATGATAATTAAGCTTAAAGGGCAGTCGAGAAAGCGTGTAACTAACAACCGACATTCCTCCAGGCAGATGGGAATTAACTATTTATAATAATTTATTTTTATAATACGATTTCGGCGAAATATTTAAAATATTTCTTACATAGTTCGATAAAAAACAGTAATCAGGTTTAATGATTATCATATTACTAAGTTAATGTATTCGTTGTAATTTATAGATTACTAGAAGATAATGATACTGCTAATTCCTTTTATAACATCGTATAATTTTCTTACAACAATAATTACGAATCTCATCTTATTCGGTAACAAACTTCTACTTAATTAATATTAATTTAAATTTTATTATAATTAGATGTTTCTCTATAGGAATTCTGTAAAATAAATTATGAATAATCAATGAATTTTTTAAAAACAGATCTTATTCAAAACCATTAGCGGATTCAGGATTTAATTTTGGAGGGGAGGGACTTCAGCTCGAAATGTTTTTTTTTCATAAAAATAACGATAATTACTTTGGAAAAAAAGAAAGAAGCTAACTACCTATATGAAATGGTGTTTAAGTGATTCCTAAAGTCCTTTTAAATGTAATTACACGAACAATTATACTTTAAGAGATAATTTTTTTATATTTTTTTCCATAAAACATGGTTATATATTACCATTTGGGGGAGGGAGGAGCCGTAGATCCGCCCGTGATTAACGCGACGAATAACCTCCTTGAAGATGTTTAAGTAGACGAATTATAACTTTATTTGAAGTAATAATGGTTTCTTTTTCCTTGTTTACTATTTAACAATTGCTAAAATAGTTTTTAATCTAATTTAAATAGTTCTGTTGTTTACTTTTTTACACTTCCTAATCCACATAAAATGTTTCTTAATGAACTTTTCTAATTAATCCGCGATGTATGATTTTGAAAACTTGTGTTTTGTAATTCCTTTTTTTATGAATGTGTATATTAACTTCACGCTATAGTAAAGTATTTTGTGTTTTTTTTTTTCAGTTTATTATGTTATTCTTGTAAGTTTACAAATTAAAATGTGCTGTAACTAATATATTATTATTGAATATTTAATATTTGACCATTGCATTATAAAAGAAGGAGATGGTCCGGGGTGGCGGTCATGAACAGGCTAAATAGTGGCAGAACTATTTTATTAAAAGCCAACGGTTCGACCCGACTTTGCAGGTCTTCTTCAGGGAGGCGTGTTCGGCTAGGGAGATGCAGTTCTAAGTGAAACTCCTAACCGAACACACCTGTCTGAAGAAGACCTGCAATGTCGGGTTGAAGCGTTGGATTTTAATAAAATAGTTTTGCCACTATTTAACCTATTTATGACCGCCACCCCGTACCATCTCCTTCCTTTAAGCTCGTTTGAATATTAGCGAGTTTTATGTTTGGATAATTTAGTTCTAATTATAATACAGGGTTAACTTTGAGAAACTATTTATTTATCCTTCTTAATGCCGGTGAGCTAGTTAAGCAGAGGCTAATTAAACAACGTTCTATTGCAATACGTAATAAATATAATACGATTAACGACTCTCTGTAAAGGTGATTCATTTCCTTTTACGTGATCAAGGCTTGGCAATCAGAGCATGAGTGAGCGGAGCTCGTTACGTCACTCACAACAAACAAATCGCTTTGGGATCACCCGGTCATGAGAGTCGAGTTAGCGGATCAGTTCCCGTGTCAGTGGGTAAAAGTGTGCCTCGGATTAGCCATTGTGGGCCGTAACATGGGCAGCGCTAAGTGGACCACCTTGGGCATCGCCGAGGCTTATCAGTGGATCGCGGGTTAATGAAAAGCCAGCCGCGACGGATGAGCAAAGGCGGAAGCCGGGAAAGCGAGTCAGTGAAAGAAGCAAGTTCGGACGTGAGAGAGAGTCCTCATAGAAAGTATTTGAGGGTGGCTTTGAGCGGTGAAACCACGGATCCATTTAATATTTAGTATTGCGGGCTACATGGATTCTGGGTGGACGTTACTGTTTCAAAGAGGTCAGTATTTTTTTTATCTTAAAGGGTTCTCGAATGGCCTTTGACAGGAACCGTTTTCGACAATGACGCCTGACAGGATCTTTTTTTTTAGGCATCACCTACTTTTCGGTAATTGGGCCTCTTTTGACAGAACTGTATCGTACTATATCTTAAAAGGTTATAGACTATTTTTTCCACAACTTTCCCCGAAAACAAACTGAATTCGACGGAACCAGTTCCCCCGAAAATTATCAAAACTAGATATTTTGTTTTTGTCCGTGGTACTGACCTATATTTACGAAAATTCTCATAAATGATACGTTTTCTCACTGAATTAATTAACTTAATGAGATAAAAAAAACTCATAAATACTCACTTGCTATCCACTTGAATAGGAAGCTAATTTGACCATAAAATCGTGAAAAAAATGTGGCCTACAAAACTATTGGTCTATCTATCTATAATCTCGTTATTTTATATGTTGGAGGTGAAAGGCACTCCAAATGGCTGAACATTTTTGTAGACGAGTTTTTCTTATCAATTTTGTGATCGAATTATCTTGCAATTCAAGTGAAAAGTAATGGCATCTTTATGACTTTTAAGTACCTTGTGAAATAAACAAATTTTACCGGTCTCCAAATTGAAAACGCCTCATTTCTGAGAACTTTTTTCAATAAAAAAAAATGTGAGTTACGAGAAGAAGTCATTCACGATATTTTAGACGACTATTTGCTTTGTATTAAAAAAGAAAAAACTCACACCTGTCACAAATACTAACGGTCTGATTGTATGCTCTGAGGAAGTAGAATAGCAGAAAGGCATAGGCGTTAGGGTGAGGAGAGCTCAGTGGCATCCCTTACTATCTTCATTTTTGTATCAAAATATTATTGTAATCGCATATAATCTAATAAAATTCCATGAGCTGTGTAAACTCTAGAAAATTCAACTCAACTAAGTGAGACTTGCCTTCCTATTAGTGTTGCCTAAAATCGGTCTTGGTATTGCACTTTGCAAAGCCAACACCATGACCACCTAACTGTTGCAAGACCAAAACTAAGACTGGTAAAAAAAAAAAATCGTTTTTGTGAAAAAAAATTAAGGCAAAATAGTTAATAATACTTGACAATTTTAGTTACTATATATAAATAATTGGTATAACCAATAAACTTTTTCATTTAACTCTTCCAATTATTTATTCGGACTTAGTTAGGTTTCTTCTGTCTGAAAAGTTATTGTAATAGACTTATAGGTAAGTGCGAGACTCTTGCACAACACCAAGACCATCGCATTTGGGTAACTCTACTTCCTATTTACCTCGAAATGTCCAAGTTCCTCAGATACTTCAGTATCTTGGATATAGGACCAACATTTATCTATACAACATATTATATATCAGGAACAAAAGAATACCACTAAATCTCAGACTATAATATATATCCACTCCTTTTAGGACGTTTAAAATTAAAAATTTAGACAGAAATTGAACCCTTTCTCTTATGTATTTCTCTTGAACCCTTACTTCACAAATACACGGGACAGCCAAAAATATAGTCAAAATAACTGTTTAATGAACTGTCACGAGTCAAAATGTGAACGTAATAAAATTTGATTTAATTTATTTTCTTGTTTTTATCAGATGAATGAGTTCAGACTTAAGGTTTAATGTATCGTTAAATAGATGAAATCTTCCTACACCTAATTAGACTAATGTTGGTTGGTTGGTTGTTTCGATGTCCAGGTGCATAACATCCAAAATTAAGCGTCAAATCAACAAAATTAAAAGACTTTTATATTGTTTATATTATACTGTCATCTTAAAAAAAAAATTATACTAATAATAATAAATAAATAATAATAAATTAATTGTGAAAAAAATATTAATAAATAATAAATTAAAAAATTCTTATCCTTGTATTGGGGTTATGACCGCCTGTAGTAATATTGTATTCTAGGTCAATCAAGCATTAGCTATTATTGTAATCAAGCTATTACTACAATCAAACATTAGAGCCATTACTGTCACAATTTTAGAACCTTTTCTTTTTTGTTTTTTATCTATTGGATGCCTATTAAATTTTATCACCAGTCGATTCGAATAAGGTTCTTAAAAAACGTTAATTTTCCCTTTGAGGGAGAAGAAAGTAGAAACGAAATATGCACAGTTAGACAGAGATAGCCTCCATATTCAGAGAGCCATATTTTTTACGTTCCTCTTTTCTCTGCCTTGGAATTTCGAAAATAAAAGTCAATAAGAAGTTATCATATAAGGTCACCGATATAGGAGTAAGTTATTACGATGTTTTACGAGATTGAACTTCTAAATTTCGTAACATCAATTTAGCTCAACCATCGATTAGATGACATATCTATGAGTTGAACTGACCATATCTGATTCTAGTTTGCATATTCCCCTCAACGGTGTCGGCATCGGAGTGCATTAATGATCTCTGCTCTGTATGCTGCGTGCTAGATGGTCTTGGCGTAAACTATCGGGGAAAGTATAGTGGCATATATAGTTCTCCAACTTTCTCGTGTTTTTCTTATTCAATCCAGGTTGTATATTTTTTACTCGTTTTATTGAAAACAAATATTATTGAACTTAGACAGATTAATTCTTTCATCGATAAATATAAAAATTAGGTGGTCTTCTAAGGTCGAACTACTGCTGTTGTAACAGAATAAATAATAACATGCTACATCTGGACTCGAACCTGGGACCTTCATCTTAGGAGGACATTGCCTTACTCATAATGTATTCATATACATCATATAAAATAGCTTATAAGTAGCATTCCCTAACTGTACTATAATTTACCAATTTTTAAGCACCAGAACAATTAGTTATAAGATAGTTATACAATATAATATATTATACTAGTTGGCCCGTGCGAATAATTCGCAAAAAAATTTGTTTAGTGAAGAAATAGCGAGACAATGTAAGGAAAGAATTAATATTTTTTCCTTGGTCGATTACAATATTCCATTTAGCATAATAGACCAAAATATTTTTACAAATTGATTTGCTAGGACTTATTTTTAACTGCTGACTGGAAATATAATAAAAGTAATAAAGACAAAATTATGCCCGGAACATGAGATTTTCTAAATTATTAAAAAAAATAAGATATAAGAACAAACAAATGCCTTAAAGAAATAAGAAAGTTAATATATCAACCAGGAAAAAAAGTGTAGTTGACTATTCTACTCCTAAATGCAATATGTTTAAAGCGGAAGACATTATTAAGTATACCAAGACTAATGGACTGTATCATTGTTAATAATTGTCCGATTTTTTTTTTTAATTTTGTTGGTAATTTAGTAATCTTTCTAATTATCATGAGTATAATCAAGAAAAAAATGCATACTTTTTGAGTTATTCGAAAAAAAGTTTCTTTTTCTTCATATCTTTTTTTCAAGAAATTTCGGGGGGATAGGACTATTTTTCGCATGTGAAGGAGAAGAATATCTTCAAAATGATTGATCAATCATTGGATTTGATGAAGAATTGACCAAGTTATGGCGTACCGACAAAAAACACCTTTTAGAAATAATATATAGGATAAATTCAAAACCTGTTTGTTTTCTGTATGATCAGCTGTTTTTTTATGATAACCTTCCTTCTATGTGCATTTTCGATTCTTATTAATTTATTTTGTACTAATTATTATTTCTCTTCTTTTTATCATTTGTATTTTTTGAAGCATATTTGTTATGCATTTTGGTTTGTTGTTATATACTTTTTTCTGTTTTTATTTTTTTGTTGATCAGCTGTTTGATTGTAACCTTCCTATACTATGTTACCTCACCTTCTTTCCAGTATGCGATCGGACGTCATAGAGCTGTTTGATTTTCAGTTTGTTGTTCGGTTGATGGATATTTCATTCTTTACCTCCATTTTAGAGTCTATGTTGTTGAAAGTTTCTAATTATAAGCTAATATATTTTTAAAACGTTTTAAAATAGTTTTTCTACGATAGATAAGAAAGTTTGTCCGTGAAAATGTAGGAGAAGCAATGTGAAAGGGATTTCTCATTTTTCAATTAAGTTTTAAATATTCGTGGTGAAAGTCAACATTGATATAAGAATACACTAGTTATCATATCACTTGAATAATTCAATGTTTTTTTCTTTTATTATTATTTTCTCAGTGTATATTGTTAGAATGATTATATATCAATCTGAGAATTGTTTGCTTTGGAATTGGATGATATTGTTGTATCATTTTATTATACTAAATTTAAAAAAGTAAAACGATAGCGTTTTATCTTTGTGTCCTATGTGCACTTTACCACTGATATTTTCTCAAAATATACTACGGGAAATATCTTCAGTCCGAACTGTTTTTGTTCCAAGAAGAATAAAAACAAATTCATTTAAGTGGCAACATGATGATATTTATGAACGAGAATATGTATGTATATACCAGAATGAAATTTGAATAATTGTGAGCTTTGTATTTAAAGCCATTTTTTTAAGTTATCAAAATAAAAACGTAATTAATATCTGTAAGCTATTTGGCTCATGTAAATATATCACACAGAACATCGTCTTCAAACAATTATTTATATTATATGAAAATTAGTAAATCTAATTTATTATGAATAAAAGGAATTAAAAAAAAAAAAACGTATGATTTAAACAAATATGTTCTACGAAACCGAAAGTTTTATGCTTCAATTTTATATCAAGGATAATCTGTTTCTAATGCCTTCAATGTCAAATTAAAAAGTGTGCTACTAATAGAAACACGTCATTCAGGAAATGATCCTATCAGGAAATAAGAGTTGTCCAATTCTCATCATATGCGGAAGATCAAGTTATGGCGAGCTGTCGTGATCTGGTTTGCTTTCCGAGGATTAGAAAGAAATTAGGAGGAAACTGTTTGGTAGTGAGAGGATGTTCTTTCAATGACCATCTCCGAGAGAGTTGGTACGTCTGAATATCTTTTCATACAAATGTGTCAT